GACAGCATTGTGCCAGTGAATGTGCAAGACACAGTGATGTGTACTGGTGTGGCCAGTGGAGGGGAAGCTGAATGGAAGGCAGCTTGGACACGCTATACCAAGTCCAATGTTGGCTCAGAGAAGGCAATGCTTCTGTCTGCCATGGGTTGTACTAAGGAGGTGTGGATCCTGGCAAGGTAAGGTTGGATGTACTGTGTATGGTTACCAATCATGCTGGTCTTCAGAAAATTATATTCCAAATACTGTATTTCACTGTATCCATTACACATAAGAACTGTCTATTGAATTGATGAGGACCTTCATATTACAACTGCTTATGATAATACAGAATTTTAATATTTTATAAATAACAATTTCTTTAAAAATTAAATGTATAGTAATTACCCAGGTACCTCAAGATGGCTTTCACCGAAAAGAGTGGGATCAGAAAGCAAGATGCTTCAAGTGTGTTCACTGCTGTAGCTTACAACTCTGTGGGTCGTGACTTGGCTTGGAACTTCCTCCAGGATCAGTGGCCTGTCATACTGGAATAGTGAGTCTTGAAAGGGGTGAAGGAGTTCGATATTGTTTTGAAAGTACCCTGTACAGTATCTGGGATGACAATTTTTTTTACAGATTTTCAAAGTGAATTAATCATGCTTATGAGAAATTTAATGAAATAAGCTGAACTGCAGTAAAATCTTGTATTTCGCGAGTAATACAGTGGTACCCCGGTTAACGAACATAATTCGTTCCAGAAGGTTGTTCGTTAACCGAAAATTTTGTTAACTGAAACCATTGTTTCAATGGGTTTTTGGTTAATTGGTTACAGCCCACCGAAAATTACCTAAAGTAAAAAAAAAATGCAGGAAAGTACACTTACTTTGAGGTGTGTATGTAGAAGGCTCCTGGATGATGATGCTGATGTGAATTTGAAGCGGGGGGTGGAGGAGGAGAAGGGAGAAGAGAAGGAAGTGGGGGTGGAGGAGAAGGGAGAAGAGAAGGCATTGGGGTGGAAGAGTAGTCACCCCATGCTGCCATTTCACCCATAAAATTTTAGTTCACTTGGTGTAATTCAAGATTATTTTCTTTAAATCAACACTGCACTGCATTATATATTGTCATTATGTAAAATAAACTTCAGAATGACCAATAATTTGACTGGACACACAGAAAAAAGCATTTATGTTGAAGAGTCTCAAACAAGATGTTCCTTCCTCTGAACCGATAAACAAACTGACACCAAGCTTGGTGTGTTGAGTGGCTGTTTGGTGCACAAAAAACTAGTTTCCTGTACTTCAATTATGTTCAATAATTGTTAAAATTACTAAAAAAATTAATATAAAACTTTTAAAATGGTTGAATAGTACAACCTTCTTGATATTTACTAAAATGGTAACGAATTTAAGCCCTAGAACCGATTACTGTATTGGCGGACTAATACTACAGCTGGTGAACAGCCAAATGCAAGCGAAAACATGTTGGGAAAAATTCATAAGGAATTTGTTAACAGAAATTTTTTCGTTAACCGAAGTGAAGAATCTAATGGAAGGTAATTCGTTAACCGAAATTTCGTTAACCGAGGCGTTCGTTAACCGAGGGATCACTGTATATAGTAGAATGGAAAAATTGTGCCAAATTCAAATACATAAACTAATGGGAAAAATACAATATAGACTGGCCACTCTACATCAACCTCTGATTTTCCCATTTATAACCTCCAAATGATACAAATTCTGTCTTAATTGACCTGATTGTTCATCCGGGCAGTCATGAAACTGACTCAAGAGAAGTGTGTGGCTGCTGCCTGTATGCCCTGACGTCACACGGGAGGAGGGATAGTGTGGCTGGCCAGTTACAGCTCACTACTACCCATGGAGGTATACCTCTATGTCACTACCTCAATACAGATGTGCACTTCCCACACAAACTTTTTTTTACTTTGCTTTTATCCGCTTCACCACTGATTGGCTCGTTAGCCGCTAGGGCGATCGGTCACGTCTCTGTTGGCAAGTACTGGGCATGCACCGGCTCCCGAATGTACCTGAACCTGCTTCAGTGTTGGTCAAGTCTGGTCTTGAAAGAGCTCGCACTCGGTGCCAACACAATACTTTCTGGTAGATTGTTCGAAGAGTTCAGAACTCTCACTCCGAAAAACTTTGCCCTCACACTTTTCTGGACCTGTGGCTTCTTCAATCTTGGGCTGTGACCCCTTGTGGGGCGAGTGCCCACCAGCTCCAAGTAAGGACACTCGACTGAGTAGTGCCCCCTGAGAATGCTTATACACCTCAATTAGGTCGCCCCTTGCCCGGCTGTAGTATAAGCTAGGCAAGTTCAGGCTCTCCAATCTCTCAGGGTAGCTGAGGTGCCGAAGTGCAGGCACCAGTCTGGTGGCCCTCCTTTGAACATTTTCAACCAACTGACAGTCCCCAGCATATCTCGGGGACCAGACGGGGTGACAGTACTCCAGATGGGGCAGCACTTCACTTTTGAAGATCGTTACGAGGAACGGACCTTCTAGATATCTAAACAACCTTCTTATAAGACCCAATAATTTATTTGCCTGATTTACCCTCTTCTCGCAATGGCCTGAGAACTTCAGCTCATTGTCAACATACACACATAGGTCCTTCTTACATTCAGTCTCAAAGCAGTTTCTTCATCCCGTTGGGACATATGTTATGCCTCCTTGCCGTTGGTACGCCCCATGTTCTTCATTTTTCTAATTTTATAGTATATTGTATACTATAAAATTATAAAATACAGTGCTGTACTGTATACAGGTACAGTACATTTTGACATTATTCGAAAATTTCCGAATTATTGTGTTCGATTATTCGTTGATTTTTTCATTTTTTGCACCTTATTCGCATCATTCCAAAGATTGTTCCTCATTATTCCAACCCAAAAACATACTTATAGTGCAAGATAAAATATTACAGCGTTCACCTGGTTGGATCTCATGAAATTCACGATATTTTACGCCAAATATAAGACTTGGTTTAGGTAGTGCTCGTGAAATTATAAAACGCGAAAGAAAATCGCGCAAAATATGAGATGTTACTTTAGAAGGCTAGCCAAAAGGGGTGCCATAGTGGAAGGGATGCTGTTAGAAGAATGCAGCATAACCATTTTTTCTCTTCAGTTTGGGACCAGGTTCATCCCATCTCTCCAGGATAGCCAAGGCTGCCAGCCAAGGTTTCAACGCTCAGCTGGAACTCAAGGAGGTGAGAAGCAAGTACACAAGACTAAGAGAAACAGGGGGTAGATCATGGATTTTATAAAGAGGGAGGAAGTTACCAAACTCCATCATCAAATACGTAGAGACTAATGACTATAGCTGTCTGGCATAGGAATTTATAGTTAATAGATAGCCTCTTTATCCCCAGTGTTAAAAGAAGTGTATTTGTTATGTTTTTACATGACTGTTACAAGGTAAAGTGAGATATTTTATCATCATAGGACTGTGCTCTCTCCTCCTTATCCTCCCCTCTCCAATTTTTAGCTCGATGGATTCAGCAACATCCATTCCTGAGTCAGAGAAAATAGCAAGATGTTTTATCTGCATTGTTGTTAATTTTGCATGGATAAATTTTCCTCAGATGTTTTATTTGTCTTTCAGCTGATGAAGTTTAAATCTGACAATGCAGATCACCTGGGGTCAGCCAGAAGGGCTCTGGACCAGTCACTCGAGAGAGCCACACTCAACACAGCCTGGATGGAAAAGAACTATGATGCCATTTTAGTGTGGCTTAACGGACAAGGCTATGACCACACACTCTAAGACTTTGTGTATTAATATTAAACATTATGGCTCAGGTACTTACATTAAAATGTATGCTAATGCACTTATACAGTACATGTTTATGCATAGTTTTTCTTGAACTAAAATGTATGCATATGTATTTTTACATACTATACACTAGAAGCACAACTTTATTTTTATTAAATTAAAATCATGGTTGTATGAATATTTATGTTTGCCACATCCTTTTTACATTTAAGAATTAAGTTATCATGAAGATGAGTCAAATCTTTGATAAATTGTACTGAAGCTAACTTATCTTGACAGAGAGATTATTAATTAATAGTAAATCAGAAACTGAATTTTCAGGACAAAATAGAATGAATTGCTGTTGTTGTGATTTTATGATGAAGTCTGCAGAACGAAGTCTTCTGGATCATGTAGGAGTGGAAGAAAGATGAAAAACAGATTACAATCATAGTTTGCTCTAGACCAGCACTCCATACAATCATTGGACAAAGTTATTGATGGAGGCTGCCTTGTAAACAGTGAGTCTTTTGTATGTGACCATTGGCCACGTAATTAGTGAAGTTAGTCATACCATTTAAGTTCGTCCACCGTCTGCGTTAGCTATCATGGCCAGTTTAGCAAATATGTATTTGTGTGTCACTAAGTCTTGCTAGTGGGGCTTTAATGTGTAATTTTTTCAATAGACATTCTTATTGACATCATTGCTCAATATTTTTCATAGGCATGTTGGAGTTACCCAGTAGTTCTTCACCTAACAGTCACTTGTACTGTATATCTGTTATCTACTTAATGGAATGGATTGAATGTGTTTGAAGATCCTTTTGAAAACACACAGTAGTAGAAAACAGTAATGCTGACCTTTGAGAAACAACTGGACAAGATTTGGACAAATCAAGATATTTAATTGAACAGTTACATTACTTTGAGTATGTTTTGCAGTGCCCTTAGTATATGTGGTAATACCTCTCTCCCTTGAATATACATTAGTTAGTAGAGCCACTATCCTGGAGTAAATAGTGTATATAGTAGACACTCTAGCCTTGAATATATGTAGTAGGGGCACTAGCCTTGAGTATACAGTACTGTATGTAGTAGAGGTACTAACCTGCCCGATTCATTAATACAGGTACTTATTATTGTCTTGGGAGTGAATGAAGTTGTGGGCACTCAGTTGACACTGCCCATCTCTCAGGGGTGTGATGTTCTAGTACATTATTTGAGGCTTTCAGGAAGTGGTCCAGGTTCTTGGAATTGATAGAGGTTTCCAGAATATAATGAGCCTTTCAGAAATTAATACCCCGTAGTGGCTTCCATAAGGTAATGGAGGCTTCCAGGAATTTTAAAAGTTCATTATTGTGTGAGGGGTTCTGAGAATTAACCAATGTTTTCAGATGTCAGAGGCCTTCAGGAAATAAATGAGGCTCTCAAAAGAGTAAATGATGAAACACAGTGCCAAAGAGGTTAAAACACCAACAGGAGGCAGTTATGTTTTATGTTTATTTTTCTCTTCCTTTTTAAAAAAACATTGAATTGCCACAAGGGGACGATCACCTCCATATTTCACTTTACTTAGACTTCAAATTAGTTGATGTGATTATTAAGGAAGTCATCCCACTGCGGTGTATATCTCTTGCTCAGATGAAATAAATTGTGCTTGCCCTGTGGATGGCACTAGCCATAACGTCCTATACCCAGGCAGCGGAACGGCTTGACGCTCCAGAAGACTCCAATAGCAAGATACAGTGTACATTGGGATAGCACACAGATACCAACAACTCGTTGAGGAGAACTGGAAAAAAATAGGGAGGAAATCAGAAGATAACTCACTGTCATGGAAGCAGCACTGAATGAATAAGGGGAGGTTAAAACCAGCAGAGGGCAGCTAAGTACGATAGTTTTTTTTTTTTTTTTTTTAATAGTTGACTTTGCCATCCCTCCAACAGCAACAACCATAAGGGTTATGACATGTGATTAATGCAGGGTGACGACGGATGTACATGGTACAGACATGACCAATACAGAGTTTTGGACAATACAAATTGCCGTAAAGCATGAAGGCTGTTGCTGGTATTGTCCTGACTGCATAGTTCCCTAGGGACGAAAATAGATGAAGCTGGAGCCTTGCTGGTTGCCAAACTAGAACAAGTTGGGAAAGAGATCTTTGCTAAGACTGAGGAAGTAGCCGATAGAATGGAGGTGGTTGCAAAGAGGAGTTATGCTGACGCCTTTACAGGGCCATGAGAGGTGGCGGAGAGTAATGCAGGGTCAGAAAAGGTTCTACATCAGCTAGGACTCTGAAGAAGTGTGTCGAAGAAATGGCAATTAGTGGACCTACTGTTAGAGGAGAGGAGGAACAACAGGAATGTTTCCAGAGCAGGAACAATGTAATAGTTTTTGGAGTCCCTGAAAGCCAGGCAAAGAGAATTGAGAGTAGGATAACACACGATAAGATACAGTTTAAGAATATTTGTACAGAGGTTCTGAATAGGCCATCAACCTCTCAGGATGTGAGGAGGCTGGGACAAAAGCAGAGGGGACAAGCCTTGCCCCCTCAGGATCACACTAGTAGTGTTTCAAACTCCTCTCTCTTTTTCAAGGAACGTGTCAGTATTAGTGTACATAACATTCAAGCCAGAATTTGTTCTTGGTAACATCTCTGCTCTTAATAGTAACTTCGGTTCCTTCCCCTATTCTTAGTTGTAGCTGCTTAAGGCACACTGTATTTGCAGTGTGGTTAGAAATGTCATTGTTTACACGGCGCTCGCCTCCTCCCGGCTGGTAGGCGGAGCTGGTGCCACCTCCCGGGTGGAGGGTGCGTTGCTGCCCCCTGGCTCTGTGTCGGCTTCCACTACCCTTCCCCTGAATATAACCCATGTACACACGTCCCCATTCCTCCTTGACTCCTCCCTTCTTTGCTTCAAGCCCTGCAGGAGCTTCTTGTGCTGTTCCCTCTGCATTACCGTGCGATCTTGGTGAATGAATACACTCCAAGATGCCTCGCTCCTTGCTAAGTTTTTTGCCTGCCGAATAACCTCCCATTTATCCTCCTCACTCACAAGTGTGATCCTGAGGGGGCGAGGCTTATCCCCCTGCTTTTGTACCAATCTCCTCGTATCCTGAGGGGTTGATGGCATCTTCAGAACCTCTATACAAATATTCTAAATCACTTGTCACACTGTAAAATATTCTGTTGCTACCGAGGTCTTTCTTAGTATTGCTAAGTGACTCATTCATTGTGGCAATATAAAACGGTACTTACTGGTAACACAAGTCATCATGTCAGAGTGCTAAGTCTAAATTAAAATTGCGGGTAGGAGTACTGGACCCGAGGCTTGACGATGGTAGTTATCCAGATTCTAACCAAGACAAACTGGAGGCGTTGATCAGTTTCTTTTCCTTGTGTTCACAAGGGAGGATCCGAACACTCTTACTGCGTTTGAGGACAGATGGTTCGACACATCGCTGACCCACATTGTGTTCTCAGAAGAGGGTATCAGAAATAAATAGTCAAAGCTAAAGGTTCATAAATCATGGCCCTGACATGGTGCATCCCACAGTACTAAGAGAGTTGTACAACGTGCTTGCTGAGCCCCTGAAGATCCTGTTCTGTAAGTGCCTGGATGAGCAAAAGATCCCCAGTGATTGGAAAATGGCTATGTGAATCCTATTTTCAAGAAAGGTGATCGTCACTCCACGAATAATTATGAACCAGTGAGTCTGACCAGCATAGTACTGTATGTATAATACTGGAGAGCTTTATAAGAGATGTCACGATGGAATATCTACAACGAAACAACCTTGTAAAGGATTGCAAACACGATTTCATGCTGGGATACTCATGATGAACACAATTACTCAAGGTACTGGATGTTTGGACCCGTATTCTGGAACAGGGTGGCAATATCAACAATATATACCAAAATTTTGCCAAGGCTATCGACAGCGTACCCCATGAAAGGCTAAAAATTAAACTGGAAAGGTACGGGATTCGGGGGAGTGCCCTAGCGTGGATTGGAGACTCTATGATCGCAAGCAGTGTGTGGTGATTAATGGCATGAAATCGTCATGTGCACTCATGACAAGCGGGGTACCGCAGGGCAGTGTATTGAGCCCACTGTTATTTCATAAATGATATGCGAGAAGCTGTACATTCCTTACAAATGATTGCGCACGATGCAAAGTTATTTAGGGAAATTAAGAACCAAGCAGACTGCGAAGAGCTGCAAAAAGATCTCTGTGAGCTTGAAGAAATGGTCAAGATTCAATGTCACCAAGTGCAAGAAGATTCACCTGGGACATACCACTGGTAAGGAGGCGTATCATATGTCCCAATGGGACAAAGAACCGCATTAATTTAGACTGAATGCAAAAGGGACCTAGGTCTGTATGTTGACAATGAACTGAAGTTCTTGGGCCATTGTAAGAAGGTGAACCAAGTAACTAAATTATTAGTTCTTATTAGAAATTCGTTTAGATAACTAGACGGTCTGTCCCTCGTAATGATTTTCATAAGCGAGGAGCTTCCCCCTGGAGTACTGTCACTCCGTTTGGTCCCCGAGACATGCTAGGAACTGTCAGTTGGTTGAAAATGTCGAAAGGAGGGCCACCAGACTGGTGCTGGCACTTCAGCACTCAGAGAGATAGGAGTGCCTGCAATTGCCTAGCTTATACTACCAACAGGCAAGAGGGGACCCACCGGTAATTGAGGTGTATAAACATCTCAAAGGGCACTACTCAGTCAAGTGTTCTTACCTGGAGCTGGCGGACGCTCGCCCCACAAGATATCACAGCTCAAGGTGAAGAAGCCACAAGTCCAGAAAACTGTGAAGGCTAACTTTTTCGAAGTGAGAGTTGTGAACTCGTAGAACAACCTGCCAGAGGGTGTTGTGATGGCACCGAGTGTGAGTTCCTTCAAGGCCAGACTTGACCAGCACTGGAGCAAGTTCAGATACATTCAGGAGCCAGTACTTGCCAAAAATCAGACACATGACCAATCGCCCAAGCAGCTAAATAGCTGATCAGTGGTAAAGATAAAAGTAAGCAAAAAAAAAAGAAAAAAAAAAGTAATTTGTCAACATGACATGGAAAAGATATAACAGTACAGTATATTATTTGCCTATGTTTCTATCCTCTCCCTGTTTTGTGTGTCGTTGATCTCAGAGAAAGGGACGATAAGTGGAAGACAACTGCAGAAAAGGAAAGTACTGTACAGCACCGGTATATCATAACATCTCTACACACTATTTTAGATATCAATTTATTACAGGACAATATAAACAGGAATAACATGGAAGATCCCTACAACAGTAATTTATAGAAGTTATGGTTGTCAAGCAAATACAATACAGTAGATAAGAAATAATTGTTATTGTTATTTACTTTTTTTTATTCTTGGAGGGATGAAGGGTATGGGATGGCCCATAGCTTATGTAAGCACAATAATAAATCTATTCATCTTCAAATTACTGTACACTGACTGTGGCAAAGTGAGACATATAAAATTTTGAGTGCTGCATATTACAATACATTTATATTATTCACAAACTAATTTCTACATTATACAGTAGCTAATAACTATATAACAAAACAAAATATTGTAAAAGATTGTAAGTTCTTTCCAGTTTGTATCCAAAAAAAACCAATCATCTTCACCCTACGTTGAACACCTACCATGGTCCACTTCATTCCATTCATTTTGTATTTTGTATTTACACATCATAAATTCATCAGAAGATACAACACTTTACACTATTTACAGATAACCATATCTGCAACACAAATATGAAACTGTAGCTGTAAGACACTATTTTTTATTCATGAATGGTTCTGATATTTTTGATATTGTCTCATGTTTTTTTCTCTCATCTTCATCGATAATGTACTGAAGGAGGTCATTTAATCCTTCAAACTCTGTCCTGCTTTGAGGTGGGTTATTCTTGGGTATTCTGGGTAAAATACCTCCTGCTTTTGTTCTGAATTCTTGGAGCTGAAAGATAAAAATGGTATTTCATCAGAGATATATTCTAATACTAGTAGTATATAGTAAATACTAACCATAGGTATAATAATGTCTGTGATCCACATACATTAATACACCTTTATATATTAAATTACTGTTGGACTACTCATGAACTTAGAGCTTCATCCAACACTGATAACAATTTAATATTATTTCTAGGCTGATACAATTCTCAACTTTTCTACTGCAGTAGTACACACACACACATTTATATGAAGTACATTATTCCAAGATACTCACGTCTTTTGCACCCATCAGTTTCCAAGCACCAAAGCAAAATACAGAAAATCCCGCAACAGCATAGAGTGTGCCCCATCCTAGAGCTCTCAAAGCAAGTGCCCCACCAGCTTCACGCAGCTCTCGTGTGCCAATGATGCCTTTGTTAAACATTTCTGGGTCCTTCTTCTTAGCCATTCCTAATGTCATGCCAAATCCTCCCAACAATGACACACCAGCAATGCCCGTGAGGAAAGCTGCAGCTGTGAAGTTAAGGTTTACATGAGTAAGAAAGTTTCACAGACATTAACACTACTGTACTGTGTTTCTTACTGACTAAGAAACAGCAGCAGCAACTTTGAGAATTTTTTTTTTGTAATAGTATTGGTAAGGAATTTTTTGTAACAATATTGGTTTGGTGATACACATGAACAAGGTAGCTTCCCAGCAGCAGTGTCTTTCTTTTTATACACACCAACACTAATTGCAAAAGTTATTATTAAATTATATTATGATTTATCAAATACTGTATAAGATTAACCAACTTTTCCTACCTATCCTTGGGTGGAAGTTTAATATTTCTATTCTAGGTTAGATTAGGTAGATTACCCATGGATAAGTAGGCTGGGAAGTGTTCTGTTGCATAGAATTTAGGGTAATTCGATCGCTGGGAAACATTTGTTAACAGTTGGAGCACAAACATTATGTCATTAATTAGACAATGAGCATGGAGCATCTTTACTTACTGGAAAACCTGGGAGATAAATACAGAATTTGAAAAGTACAAATCCTATACATTGCGTCAATTGTATTCCGCTTGCATGTTTCTCTCAATTTCTTTTGGTAATCTAACTTATTACTTTGCTTACTAGCCATTTAGGTGGTTGGTAAGAAAGCTTTTACATTCTATGAAAACTTAACTTAAAGTTGGTGGAAGGGCACACCACGGGTGGCATGTATTATCAATATGTCATGGCTGGAAGGTAGATTATTACTGTGTAAACTGGCTTATATGTTAGTGCGCGTGCAGAATAATTATCCATTAGGTGAGTACATTGTCCAGATTAGTTTACGTTAGGTTCTTTTAGATATGTTTTAATTCCACATTTTCCCTCTGCTTTAAAGCCTTGTCCATCTTTGATAAGTAAAGGCAGAGAGTTGTAGTGGATTTCTCCCCTACAAACGCTGTTTGTCGCTGAGTAGCCGACCCCACCAATTCCCCTCGTGGTCTGGGTCAACCAGCGCCGCCATACATCACGGAGCGGGGGTCAACTACTAAGCCACGCCAACCCCCGCTATTTAAGATCTGACCTCGTGGTGACCTGTCCTCTTTCTACCTACAGCCGCAGCCAGCAACACATCCTCCTCCGCCGCTGCCTGGCGGTCCTCGCTTCTCCTCCGCCTGCCTGGCGGCCCTCGCTCCCGCCGGCGAGCATGGCGACCCACAGGCTGGTCCTTCTCTGAGCGTCCTCACCAACCAGCTCTCTCTACATCACGCTTGTAACCATGCTGCCTTCCCAGCACCAAGCTGCATTGTACATCCAATACAACATGTATATAGAGAGCACATTGTGAGTTTCCTTTCTCCATTCCATCCTGAGTGTGAACCAAACATCCTGAACCCCACAAATGGTGACCCCGGAGTGACCCCACAGAGTCATAATTTAACAATCATGCATTTCCATATACTGTACTTCCATTATCACTAATGTATTCAACATGAAAAAACTTCATTTAAAAAAAATTCCATGCCTAAACCATATCTTCTAATTTTAATAATTTTCATGTGGTAAGAAAGCACTTGTCTCTTACAGTAAATAAAAGGTAAATTTGCAATGTCACACCGTTCACTTTTAGCAAGTAAAAAATATATTTTTCTGGTGTATTTGTGTTTTTAGACCTAATATGACCTTCAATTTTGCCAGAAATTAGCCGGTTTTTTTTGCGATTTTTTTTCGTTTGACGTTTTCCGAAAAAAGTGGCTAAGCGACTAAAAAATACATAAAAAAACACTAGAAAAACCAAAACCTAACCTAACCTAACTTAACTGACTCTCACCATATGATGGAATCACCTATTTCTTACCTTATTGGCCTGGTTCTTGTTCGTTGTTGCATTCTGGGATTCTTACCCAACGCCACATATGTTGGTCTTTGCGATATTTACATTCCGTCTTGCTCTTAGTACACTTTACTGAGGTTGGAAGAACACCATGCGATCGAAAAAATGCAATAGTTTCTACGTTTTTTTTTCCAAAACCTCGCAATCAGCTCCATATACTTCAAGTGACATCCATTGCAGACTTCCATGGTCGGAACTGAACTTGAATTTCAAAATATGAGAGACCCAAAATAAAACTCGATTTTGATTGGGCCAAATATACTCTGAATTAGCAAAAACGCTTTTGATTGGCCGCGTGACGTGTACGGGTACGCATGCGCGTCATGATTTATGAAGGAGACGCGAGAGACACGCAGTGTTGGGTGAGAGGCAGACGATAATGGCGGGAAATAATGGAAGAAAATAGAAATTTATTTGGAAAAGCTATCTCCGTTATTATACATTTCCGCCGGTAATGTAATAGATGAAAATTATCTTATAATTAGACGTCTTATTCGAATATAATAATAGATTAGTGGTAGGAATGAACGGTGTGTAAACGCAATAATACCAAATAAAATCCTAAAGTTCCTGATTGACGTGTAATACTATTACAAAGTACAATATTGCCACAGGTTTTCCATTTGTGATGCATTAAAAACGGTGTCTTTTTTTTTGTTCCCCCTCACCATTTAAATATTATGTGGTTAATATTCGTTTTTACCATTATCTCTAGGATTCTTTGTTAGGTTAGGTTAGATTACGTTAGGTCAATTATAAAACACCAATATACACTCGGAAAAAAAATATACCCGGTATATATATATATATATATATATATATATATATATATATATATATATATATATATATATATATATATATATATATATATATTCCTATGGGAAGGAAACCATTATCAAATCTGTGGAACCAGTGTGCACATTTACCTCGACAACTGTACATAAATAGTAACTTTATACTTATTTCAATTTGGCAGCAACTCCTCTTACACTGGTATTTAAATTTATTTACATGTCCTTAATAATGCCATCTTCACTGCCAGTGCCACTGATTTTTCCTCTCTGAATCGAGATGTAAGCACACTTTGCTTACAACTGACGTCATTTCATTGACATACATTCCACTTCTAACCAAAATACATGTTCAGGATTAATCCCTCTGTATGGAGTCCAAGGAAACTCCCATTATTTCATCTGGAGTTAAATGACTAAATACCTTTCCTTTTGTTCACCCAGGAAAAAAAGATAAGAAACATATTAACGAGTTTCACGATTTGTTAACAACTTCGTACAGATATGAAAATCTTCTCACTTGACCCAGAAACGATTCCTGTTTTCTCGTCAACTGAAATCCGAAATTCAACCCGATATGATAACCAATGAATATATTAACTAAAGGACCTTGAGTATTTTTAATATTTATTACTGTGAAGTAGGGTTTTACCTATTTTTAAGATTTATTAATTTGTATAAAAAACTTATATATGCATACTGAAAATGATTGATAAATGCGGTGTTCAGAACAAATATGGTACTGTATACAAGTCATTTTTGGGTTGAATATTGTTTGAGTTTTCTTTGTCCCAAACGGAAAAAAGAAACTAAAAAAATGCATGTAAAATGAGTGCCCTCAAAACAATAATACTGAGATTATTAAATATCTTACACCTTGTTCAATAATTTTATCATATTTAGATGGTTAAGGGATTTCAGAAGGCTCTCTAGGGTTTTGTGAACCGATGTTATGAGTGACGATAAAGATTCGGAACCTTTTATTTCTGTTTTTTTTTGTTGACGTTATAAGTAAGGAAATGTGGATGTGTTACTTTATGGAATGTAACCTGGGAAAAATGACTCGTAATAAGAGAAGTACCGTAGAGAGTAGTGAAAATGGAGTCAGTGTTATATAGTGTCTTTGTGCTGTGTTTGTATATTCAGAGTTTTGCGTGTGCAGGGGTCTACGAGATCTGTAAGTTACCTTCTTATGGACCACCTTGTAATATTAAGAACAAACTTTAGGGTAAATATTAAGAATTTGCTATGTACCGAAATTACTATGGAAAATAAGTTTTTACACTTTATTTTATAGTGTTTCATACGAATTTGGCCTTTGGTTCCGTCAGAAATTAATAGTTATGTAAATATATCCCCCCCCCCTCCCCACACCCTTAACAAAAATATTGGTTGCACAAAATGGGCAGGGCTTTAAAGTAGAGGGATACTGTTGGGCGAAAACACGCAAGAAACGGAATCTAACCAGAGAAATCAGAAAGTCCTCACCTATCATCTCTGATCCACCCTCTCCTCCCCTCGGTATAAAAAAATTCCTGGTATATGATGTAAACAAAATCATTGTAAAGTGTGTGGCTACATATGGCCACACACTGAACACTATGTTCCTCGACTGTGTGAAGATAGAAACTTTTAGGGACAGGTCCAAACACACTGTGTGTGAAATGGCACAACACTTCATCTCTAATGGCAAGATAGCCGACATATTAAGATTGTATCCACTTTTTTGCACTTAGTAACTATATCAATTCTCATGTACAGAACCAAATACGCATTACGCAATGTGCTTGAATACCTCCCACGTAAATGTGAATATCAAAGTGTGAGGCCAGACATACTGCCTCACACTCTTGTACTCACGCATTTGTGAATAAGTTACCCTTTATGTATAGAACTAAACAAATAATGTAAATGAAATACTGTGTAACATTCAGTGCCATAATATCCTGACAACGGGGGTTAATTATTATGACCCTTTGTAAACCCTACTCTGTAATCCTTTTGCGCTACCGCTCACAGGATGAGTGTGGGGTGCACAATAAAATAGCCGCTGCAAGCGGCAAAATCAAAAATCAATCACGTCCCACACCCCATTCACACACTTCTCACCTCCCACACCAAACACACACTCACACTCCTCACCTCCCACACCACACACACACTCACACACTCCTCACCTCCCACACTAAACACACACACACACACACACACACACACACACACACACACACTCTCACCTCCCCACACCAAACACACCACACAATGCCACCTCCCACACCACACACACACACACACATACTCCCCACCTCCCACACCACACACACACACACACACCTCACCTCCCACACCACACACACACACACACACACTCCACACCTCCACACCACACACACACACCTCACCCCACACCAACATTGAACATGAATAACACACACACACACACTCTCACCCACACCACACCACACACACACTCCCCACCTCCCACACACCACACACACACCCTACCTTCCACACCACACAATATCGAACACACCTCACCCCACACCACACACTTCATCCTGACCACCGACGGTCAAGACGGGTCAGACGCACCTGGCGCTGCTCAGCAGTAGCCACGTCAACTGTTATGTTGGCCCATACCAACTCCCTCCCCTGAACCCTCCTCCCCACTGAAATATCAACAAGTTCTCCCCAGAAGTTACTATTTCATTTGGGAAATGAATGGAACCAGTGTTGAATAGTGGTGAACAGTGCTTAAGTCAGTGAAAAACAACTCGGCAGTTGAGTCTTACCCAAGCTAACCTTCACACAGTGAGGTCCCAGGTACCCAGTGATAATTCCCCTGAGACTCCACGATAGAGAGACCTGGGACCATACCTCAGACCACGTGGTGTCCCCATGATGCTACGACCTCTGACCCAGCTTGGAGAAGGTCGTGCTGATCGTGCTCCCGTTAGAGACCAAGGAAAATGGCCGCTTTGGACCGTTGTGCCGTGGGGGAAGAGGAGGGGAGTGTGGAGAAGGACGACCTCCTTGCCACGCTGTTAAGGCAGCTGGGGCAGTTGAGGAGTGAGGTTGACACTCTAAAGGGGGAAAATGAAGCCCTCAGGACGGAACTCCTTCAGGTAGGTGTCCTGCCTAGCAGGACACCTGCGAAGGAGGAGCAGGCGTGGAGAGTGGTTGTCTCCAAGGGGTCTAGGGTCAGGCTTAGGAAAGCTGACCAGGGTGTGGAGTGCAGTAACCCTTACCAGGTGCTGCAGGAAGCTGGAGAGGAAGAGAAGAGCAGGACGGTATGGATCAAGGAGAGGAAAGGGCAGTTGTACAAACCCTGCCCACAGGTAAGGTCGTGGTAGTTGGTGACAGCCAGGTGAGGTTTATGGAAAGGGCTTTTTGTGCGAGAGATAGGAAACGTAGGACTAGGGTATGTTTTCCTGGGGCTGGGATAGGGCATGTAGCCGAGAGGTTAGACAGAGTTTTGTCAGGGGAGGGTACCAATCCAGTAGTGTGTCTTAGTGTGGGAGGAAACGACATAGGTAAGGTTAGGAGTGAGGAACTTTTCAAGAGGTATAGGGAGGCGCTGGGGAAGATTAGAGATAGGGAAGGGATCCCGATAGTATGTGGTGTCTTGCCTAGAAGAGGGGTTGGTCGTGAATGGCTGTCCAGGGCAATTGCTATTAATTGCCGACTGGAAAAACATTGTGCAAACAATGGTTGGGCATTCATTGATGACTGGCAACGATTTTATGGCAACGACTACCTGTACTGTCGCGACGGAGTACACTTGTCTCGCGAGGGGGTAAAGACGTTGTCTGCATTCCTTGAGCGTGAAATTGTCACTCCGAAGGGGGGGTTTCGCCAGTAGAGAGGGGTCGGGAAAATGGGAGTCAAAAAACAAGCAGGTCCTGGGAAGTAGTGAAACAGAAGTAGATAATGCTGAAAATATAGTTAGTCATAATAACAAACATCAAAGTAATAAATGTAAAACAGATAGAAACGAAGAAATATATTGAGTGTTTATTATACTAATAGTAGAAGCCTGTGTAACAAAATGACCAGCTCAGGCCATTGTTGGGTAAATATAAATGAGCAGATATAATTGCAATAACGGAAACATGGATAAATTCAAACAGCAAGCATTTTTTAGCAGAATTTCATATTCCAGGATATAACCTATTTAAATTTGACAGAGTAGGAAGGAGAGGTGGCGGTGTAGCAGTGTATGTCAGGGTGTCATTAAAAAGCTGCAATAAATCAAACATTAAAACAAATAGCGACAATGAAAGTATTTGGGTAGAGATTGGTGAGGGCAGTGAATCCGTAGTCATTGGTGTTATATATAGACCACCTAATTTGAGTAGGAACGATGGTAAATTGCTATGGGAGGAAATAAAGAAGGCATCTGATGGAAACAATGTATGTATTCTAGGCGATTTCAACTTTTCAGGCATAGATTGGAAAAATCAACTTAGCGATAATGAATCTGAAGATTTTCTAGAAGTAGTACAAGATAGTTTTTATATCAATTCATAAACTCGCCCACTAGAGGAAATAATATCCTCGATTTAGTTCTCAGTAATAATGAAAATCTAGTAAAAGATGTTGGGATTGGAGACGAACTAGGAAACAGTGATCATAAAGCCATATATTTTAACATAATATGGGATGGCAGGAAGAAGGAAAATTCGGCCCTGATCCCGGATTTTAGGAAGGCTAATTACGGTAGCTTAAGGAGAGACCTAAGGGATGACCCTATGGTCAAAAGATTAATCCTCCCCACACCTCCGGAAACTGTCAACTTAGGACGGGATAACCCCGAATTTAATCTAGCAGCTACTTATGAACAATTTATTGCGACAATCAATAATGCCCAAAATAAACACATTCCTAAAAGAAAATTCAGATCGATACGGAACCAACCAAAATGGATGAATAATAGACTCTTAGATCTTCTAGGGAAAAAGAAAGGAGTATATAGAAAAGTTAAGAAAGGCGAAAATCACCTACTTGGTTACTATCAGAACC